AAAAAAAAAAAAAAATTGATAAAAAAAATATTCTGATAAATGGAGGTAACAAAAATTTTGCTACATTCTAAACACAATAGGTATCAGAAAAAAAAATCGTTTTTTCTTTTTGTTCACTAATAACCTCTTATAAAATTGTTCTCATCATCGTCGTTGATGGTCACAAGATGTGCATAACGGGCTTGACATTCCAATTCGGCATAGCTCCAATTCGTTGTATTTGATGTGGACAAATAACATTTGTTTGTTTTCCAAAAGTATTGCCATCCATTATCACATTTTTTGCATAAAATACCTGCAAACTGGGGACAGACCATTCATTGAGTGTATTTCAAACACGGCTTAAAATTATCTGGTTTTTTCTTTTTCTTTATTACTCTACACGTAATCATGAAACACATGTCTTCATTCTTTTAAAAAACTGACATTTGAAATCAAGTGTGTTTTTTTTTTTTGCTTATTTTGAGAAAACTGTTAAAGGCAACAATACCAGTTATATAGCAGAACAACAAACGTATAAGTTCAAAAAAAAAAAAGTGGTGGTTTAAACTTCAAAAACGATTTATTTGAACACAAATTTAGTAGTTGACGCATGAAACATGATGTAGTAACCTATTTTACAAGGTTTAAACTACAAAAAAACTTTCAGTTTTGTATTATTATTCAATTGTAGTAATTCATTAACACATTTTGTTAATTCTTAGTACTTTTATAACTGAACAAACATTGTTGAAATTATCACATAGTTTTCTACATCTCTTCAGCTGTTGCTGCTAAATATATGCTAAACTTTGGTGATAGGTTATTATATTTTTTAAACTTTAGTGCTAGGTTGTTCAACTAAAATTCTAGAATTTTTTTATATAATTATTCAATTTTAACAATTCTTAAAACCAGGCATAAACAGCAATTGAAAAAGTATATTAATTTTGAATCCTAATCAGTATACTGTAAACAGTAGTTATCTTACAAAACAATAGTGGTACTAATCTATTGATAATGTAGAAGACAGATGAAGAAAAAGTGAAAAATTGATGCAGTATAGGCAGACTAAAACTTTTCAAAGTCAATAGTTTTCTTATCAACAATTTGATAGTAAACAATAAAAAAGCTATTATACACTGTGTAAAAATCAGTATATTTTTTTCTCAGCAAATAACTTAAAAGGTAAGAAAGAGAAAATACAAAAGAGGATATATCAGTTAAAGCTTACCGATAATAAGAGCAAAAAATTGGACGAACAACAGAAGCGTTGTTGTTGTTGTTGTTGTCATTTTTGATTATGCGTACAAACAGTGTCACTGTTCACCGTTTTTCAGTGGTTTTTGTATGAGCAATCAAAAGACAGAAAAAATTGAAAAAAAAAAAAATTTTTATTTTTAATTACACAAATTCTTTACACTTTCTTTTGCTGTTGCTGTTTTTTTTTTTTTTCTTTTTGGTTGGTTTCTTTCCTATGACAACATAATTAATAATAAAGATAAAAGTGAAAAAGTTTCTCTCATTTTTTTTTTTCTCTTTTCTGTGCTAATATCCAGAAACTGGTTGAACTTTTAAAGGTTATT